CCTGCCCGTGCCCCGCGCGGGCCGAGGGGCAGCGGCCGCTGCAGCCCCACACCCTGCCCATGCCCCACGCCAGCCGAGGGGCAGTGGCCGCCCAGACCCACGTGTGCCCCGGCCGGCGCATGCCTGCGCCTCCCGCTCTATTTATAGCTGCTGGGACCGCTCCAACGCATTCCCCGTGCCGAGGGGGCGGGGGACCGGCAGCGCTGCCTTCATCCCCAGCCTGGGGGGCTCGGGAGGGCAGCGGCCACCCCCTCTCCTGCCCAGGCAGGATCTGTCCCCAGGAGGGTGGGTGCAGTGCAGCCAGCCGGCAGGGCTGGCGAGGAGCGGGCAGGATGCTGGCAGCGTGGGGGGGGGGGGGGGGGGGGCAGAGATGCAGCAGTGGGAGCGGCCAAGCCCTGCACTGTCCAGAGGGCCGGATCCAGCCCTACAGCAGCTCAGGTGCTGCGGGGCAGGGATGGGACAGGGGTCCAGCAGTGATGCTGGTGGGGAGCGCGGGTAGCCGGAGCTGGGCAGGAGCTCCTTGGGATGGCATTGGAGGGTTGGGATCTCCTTCGGCCCCAGGGCCGGAGGCCAAGGTGGGGCTGGCAGGGAGCGCGAGGGGCTGCCCAAGCCTGACACCATGACATCAGGGCACTAATTACAGATGCAGCCTGGGATAATTACAGAGTGGGCGAGGGCTGCAGCAGGGCAGGGCAGGGCTCAGCCCATCTCTGGCCCATTTATCACCTGCACCCACAGGGGATTGTCTTGCAGCAGTGGAGCTTTGTGGCCGGCCGCGATGCCGGCCCCATGGCAAGATGCTTGGGGGCTGGTGGCTGCCCCAGCACACTGCCAGCGACGGGCAGTTCCGCACCCGTCTGCCCCGGGGCAGGATGCACGGACAGACCCTTGCCCCTGGGTTCCTGCTGGGTCACTGCCTCGTAGCTAGTAGAGGTCAGCTGGAGCATTTTGGGGGCAGGGGTTCGGATCAGGCCTTGTGGCCACGGTACCACTGCCCTGCGTGGGCCCTGAAACCGCCCCGCACAGAGCAGCAGGGTGGGAGCAGCCTGGGGCAGAGGCAAAGTCCTGGGGCTGGAGGAGGGAGGTGTGGGGCAGAGGGGTGGGGAGCGGTGTGTGAGCGGGTGGGATGGGGTGTCCTGTGTGGTGCTTTGCCCGGAGATGCTGGCGGGGTTTGTTTGCCGTCCTCATCCCTGTTTGCACCCAGCCTCCCGCAGCGTCAGCTCGCGCTGGCAGGACAGTGGCTGAGCTGCAGACGTAATTGTCCTTTGATTTTGGGGTGCTTGGCACCCCTTTGGCTATCCACAGGCAGCATCAGGGTGAGGTGCTGGGCACGCTGCAGGGGCTAGAGCCATGGCTGGGCCCCAGCCCACTGGGTGCAGCCCCCTCCCCAGGCCAGCCTGAGGGAACCGTGGCAGTGTTGCACCCCACACTGAGGGGCTGAGGAGCACAGGGAGCTCTGGGGCATGCAGCTGCTGGGGCCGGGTGGCATGCTCATCATGAGCTCATCGGATTTTCCATCAGCGTGGGGAGGGCGGCTGTTCCCAGCACCACGGGAACGGGGAGGCTGGACCCATGAACCCCAATGCAGCGGGGCTCTGCCTGCAGCGGAGCGATCGATCAATACTCTGCTTGTTGTATAAGCCTATCGACTCGGGCTGGCATGGCAGCCAGGAGCACTCTGCATTGTTGCCCGCACCAGGAGCACCAGCGGAGCACAGCCACAGGCCCTGTACACCCGTGGTTGCCCCTTCCTCACCATGCCCCCTGCTCCAGGCTGGCCCCATGGTGGGGAGGACCCCGGATATGGCTGGACCCGGTGCCAGGCTGTCCTGGAGCCCCGGGATGCTCGTCCGCTCTGGGCGATGCTGTGCTGGGTCCCCTGCCTGCCCTGCCAGGACCCACAGGGCTGTGGCCCCGCCAGGCAAAGGGGCTTTGGAAGCCGCCTGCCGGCAACCTGGGAGCACGTCATGGGTTGGCCCCGGCCCTGCTCTGCCAGGTCCCTTGTGTGCCTTGGAAATAAGGGGCCGTGGGGCTGCTGTAGCCCCCTCAGAGGCTCGGCCACACAGGTGTGCAAGTGGGGCTCTTCCCCTTCCCTGTCTTGGCGTGTCCCCTGTGTTTGTGGGTTCGCTGGGACATGCTCCTTTGCCACCTGCACTCCTGTCCCCCGCCATCCCCCCGGGGCTGCACAGCTCCCAGAGCCGTGGCTCAGTCATGCAGCATTCCCTGGCGGGGAGTCAGCCGGTGGGTGAGGCTGCTGGGAGTTTCAGGGAAGCCTCTGCTCTGGCTGAGCCAGGGGAGCAGCCGGTCAGTGGCGTGGCCAGGGGCCGCAGGAAAGCAATGGCTCAGCTGCAGCGTGGGGCTCTGGGGTGTCTGGGGCGGTTTGGGGCGTACAGCCACCCCTGCAGTGGCACAGAGCGGGGCCACCCCGTCTGCCGAGGAGCCTTCCTGCCCGCTCCCCATTCCCTGAGTCAGAGGAACGCGCTTCCGGAGGAGAGGGCTGGGATTTCGGGAAACCTGTTTGCCGGGTAGGCGAGGGAGAATGGGTGGCAGGGGATCTCCTGGTCCCGCGGTGACATCATCCCAAAAACAGGCATCTCTGATGGGCGCTGCCTGCAGGAAACTGAATCTGTTCATCAACACCTCCCTGTGAACCCAGAGACGGGCACTTTGCGGGATGCCTGGACTGGGCCGGCCACGTGGTGAATGGGGACACGTCCCTGGCTGCTGCTGCCCCTGCAAAGCCCTAAGCAGTGTTTCCCCCCCCATGGCTGCTGCTGCTGCCCGCATCTCCCCTGCCCTTGGACGTGCTGCTGCAGTGGGCAGGCACCCGTGCCCAGGGTGCGTTTGCTCCGAGATGCTGCGTGGGGCAGGGACTGGGGCCGAGCTCCTGGCCCACCCCTGCTTCTTGCAAGGCCAAGAGGAGTTTCACCCCCAAGCGGGGCTGAGCCGAGGCCTCTGCTCCTGCCCGGGGAGTGGGGGAGGCCTCTCGTTATCTGCCTGTTATCGAGGCCAGGGTGGGATGTGTGACAGCGAAGCCCTCGCCCCCGGGAGTGGGGGGCGGCTGCTGGCGGTGACTAAGGCTCACGTGCGACGGGTGGGTGGTGGGGGAAGCAGCAGCGAGGCCTCGCGAGCAGCCGAGGTGGGGCTCCGGGACGGGAAATCAATGTCTCTTTGGGGTGCCTGGAAATCGGACAGCTGATCCGAGCGGTGCTGGCCGTGGCTGCAGCTGCAGGGGGGTCAGGGGGTGTCTGCTGCAGGGCCAGCGCTTTGCAGGTGACTGGAGCATCGTAAAATGTGGGGAGTGGGAAGGGTGGGTGCAAGCCCCAAAATCTGGGAGAGGAGGGGCTGGAGATGGGCGAGTGCCCAAGCAAGGCTGGGGGACGCTGGGCACGGCAGGGACAGGCAGCAGGGCAGGCCTGAGGCCGGGGTGACGGG